TGGAAACAAAGCTCATCAAAGCCTGTTTACTCTGTATTGTTCCGTGTCTTTCCTTTAATGGGCCTGGAAAGCTAGACATCCAGTCTGCTAGTCTGCTATGCCTACCTTCTGCCTGTCTTCCTTGAACGAGCAACAGGAGGAACAAAGCAGGTCAGGGTTCATTAGGAGCAGTGCAAAGACACATCCCGCAGTACTGAGCCACGGGCCTTATGTACAGAGACTCTGTCACACCTCAAGTATATGCAGAGGGTAAATCCACTTCCACAGCCAGATCCCATACTTCACAAAGCACAATGCCCCACGCACATCTCATCTCTCACCAGTCAGTCCCCTAGCCTCATAATTTCTGAGCCAGCAAACATGTGCACCAGAGGCTGATTTCTCAGCAATCACAGGCGCCATTAGCCCCTCAGAAGTTGCCCCGGCAGCCAGACAATGAATTACCCTGTCATTCTCGCCAGGCAGCCATCACACGGGTAGCAGAAGCAGGGTGAGGCAAGGGGAAGGAAGGTGTTAGAAGTGGAGCAGAAACATGTGGATCTGTGTCTGCACACAGTCAGGCTGTTCACATTCACCCAACTGTTAAAGAGGGCCTGGAAACTGTTTTTCTGAATCAGTTCCAGCTTGCAACTGCCCACCTGCATTTGAATCTCAGCTTTCCCTGGCTATGGGACAGGCATGGGACAGAGCAGAAAACAGCAGCATCAGTCCCAGGTCTGCTTCAGTCCTGGGAGCAAATTAAATGCAGGAATAGGGGAGGATCTTCAAGGTGCTGGGAGCAGCCCCCGTGTGTAGTAGTAGTTACGGTCAGTCTCAGATAACCTCAAACAGGTCAGGAAAGACAAGGAAAAAAGAGGAAAGGAAGGAGAGACTGTGAAGGCAGAAAGAGAACACCGAGGAAGTAATGTATGCTGTGCCTGGAGTGAACCATCCACCTCTTCTGACATTAGCTTTCTCGGGGGTTGCACAGGGCTACTGCTAACAGAAACGAAAGCCCTGGCATGCAAGGAGGGACTCACGACTGGGGTAGGGGCAAATAGAAAGAAACCCCTCAGATCAGAAGGCTCCCATGACTGCATCCTACAAAGATTCAGGGCTTTTCATCCACAAAAGTAACTGGTTCATTTTACTGCAAGTA